TGTATTAATACAAGAGTGACAAATTATATCACAGTAAACAGATAACTGTATATTATAAGTAGGGTGTGCAATATATAATGTGCACTAGTACATTTATTTCACCTTTTACATTGTTAAGTACTTGCATGGTCAATCAATCCGTCATTTACCTGCAAGAACAACATATGCCGTTGAAATACAAGCTTCGACATTATTTGTCAAACAAACACAAGCACGAATTCATTTTTTTCTTAATTTTGAAACTAGAAGGTCCCTCGTTAGAGAACATGCCTCCGCCTTGTACAACAATTTCCTTTCAGTATTACATTTTTAAAGTACTACTGTGTACTTGTAGTTTAATGTACTTTCTCTAAACCATGCGCACATAGTCCTTGTGTCATACCTAACATAACCACCAAAATTCATTCAAATCCATCTAAAACTTTTTGGGTTATTATTCATATTCTCCATTTATTTAACATTGCGATTATTTTCAAAGTTCCTCTGTGTACATGCACTTTAACATACACTCCTCAAAAAAAAAGAAAAAAAAGAAGAAAGCAAAACAAAATTTGAGAAAATTAAAGTTGGAACGCAAATGTCAAAATGAGCATGTTTTGAGGGTTGAATATTTGTTGTTGGTATTGTTAGAAGAACATGCGTGAGCGAATGCAACCATAAATGATTTTGAATGGTTTTATCGATCATAATTGTCATGGTGAGCTTGACTGGTATGGAACACAACCAATCAAAAGCTGCAATTATTGCTTTTCGCGTGCAACCTATGACCAGAAAAGACCCAAATGCATCTCGCAAATTCATCCAAGACCTTTGCAAATATTGGATGAGAAAATGGGACGTCTCAACGGTGCCCACCGAAACAGTGTCATTGGACTATTACAAGCTGGCGAATCCAAGAGAGTCGTGGCGAGGACCTTCAGTATTCATCCCTGCACAATAACTCGTTTGTGGGATCGTTTTGTGCATTCCATTTCGACAAATGACCATCCAAGACCAGGAAGACCGTGAGTCACCACACAGCCCAAGGTCGCAAAATCCGGGTAACCCACCTACGTGACTGTCATCATTCCGCCCGGGACACAGCACAAGAGCGGTTTTGAGCCCGGAGAATGTCCGATCAGACAATCACAAACCGTTTCCGAGAGGTAGGTATGCGTGTCAGACGTCCACAAGTTGCCCTCTCTCTAACACGATTACATTAACGTCCGTGAGTCAGGCGGTGTAACGCGGTGCAGCCATGGAGCCTTGGAAACTAGATGCACATATGGCTCAATGATGAATCGCGGTTCGTGACGGAAGACAACGTGTCTACAGACCACGCAAAGAACGTTTTGCACCCAACTGCATCAGGCAAGTGGACATGGTGGAGGTAATGTGATGATGTGGGGGGCCATCTCATACACCCGCATATCGGAATTTGTGCTCGTCCAAGGCAATCTTACGGCTGCGAGATATATCGACCAGATTCTCTGTCCCCACGTGCATCGTCTTGTTGACCGCCAAAGGGAGCTGTACCTCACACAGCACAAGCTACAGTGGACTACCTGGAGAATAACAACATCAATGTCCTCCCCTGGCCCTCCAGATCCCCAGATCTGAAACAAATTGATTACATGTGGGATCAGATAGATAAATGTGTAACTCAACGTCGTAATCCGCCACAGAGGCTTTTACAGTAACTGTTGTTCAACATGCTGCAGCAGGAATGGAGGATTCCAAAAACGAAACATCCAACAACTGATTCAATCTGTGTCAAGAAGGTGTCATGCAGTTCTAGCAGTAAGAAGTGGCCATACAAGGCAGTCACGTCAACGTCACCTCGTCGACAGCAGGAATGACTATGATGACTGTCATTCTTGTGAATTGTGCCTGAGATACTTATGTATTGCTTTACATAATTTCAATGATGTGCCGTTTATTTTCATTGATTTACATAATTGAATAAGACCAAATTTATCAAAGATATTTTGCTTTTCCGTTTCTTTTTTTGAAGAGTGTTTTTTTTCAACATCTAACTGATTGGTCCTGAGGACATACCCAAGAGATCCAGAAAGTTTCATTGTCCATCTAGTAGTATTTGAGTAAAGATGCCAACACACACACACACGCACGCACGCACGCACGCGTACACACAGTTGCATGCATACCCTCTGCAACAAACCTTCTGTTTTGGCAGAAGCACTTACGATCATAGTGATTATTATACATACTTATATTAATGAGATTCTTGATATATAATGGTACAAAATGTAGTTGTAAAACACCCATCACAAGGTACATTTTGACATACTACATGCCTATGTAGTGATAGGTTTATAAAAATATGTTTTCTCACATTGGTCTTGCAGCTCGATTATCGGTACCGATGTTCAGTTACCCCAGAATGACACTTATAATCATCGGAAAAAGTGGAACCATGTTTTTATTTGTTTTTTTTGGTTGTAGTTTTTCTAAATCCATATGCAATACTGATCACAATTATCAGTAGTTCCAAAAATTAAAATGCACTTCCCTAGGGAAGCAATTTTGCTACATAAGCCCCTGCACTATACGTCATACATGTAGTCTGATGCCAGTCAGGTAAACCCTACCTGTATTCTTGCCAAGAGTCATCCGTGTAAAAATATTCCTACCGCCCCCTATAAAGTAATGCATGTAATGTATATCCTGTACACTAGAGTAGAAGGTTTAACCATTAGGCTACCCTACAGCCCCTGTAATGCAATACATGGAATGTATATCCTGTACAGTAGAGTAGAAGGTTTAACCATTAGGCTACCCTACAGCCCCTGTAATGTAATACATGGAATGTATATCCTGTACAGTAGAGTAGAAGGTTTAACCATTAGGCTACCCTACAGCCCCCTGTAATGTAATACATGGAATGTATATCCTGTATAGTAGAGTAGAAGGTTTAGACATAAGGCTACCCTACAGCCCCCAGTCATGTAATACATGGAATGTATATCCTGTACAGTAGAGTAGAAGGTTTAACCATTAGGCTACCCTACAGCTCCCTGTAATGCAATACATGGAATGTATATCCTGTACAGTAGAGTAGAAGGTTTAACCATTAGGCTACCCTACAGCCCCTGTAATGTAATACATGGAATGTATATCCTGTACAGTAGTACAGTAGAGAAGGTTTAACCATTAGGCTACCCTACAGCCCCCTGTAATGTAATACATGGAATGTATATCCTGTATAGTAGAGTAGAAGGTTTAGACATAAGGCTACCCTACAGCCCCCAGTCATGTAATACATGGAATGTATATCCTGTACAGTAGAGTAGAAGGTTTAACCATTAGGCTACCCTACAGCCCCCTGTAATGTAATACATGGAATGTATATCCTGTACAGTAGAGTAGAAGGTTTAACCATTAGGCTACCCTACTGCCCCTGTAATGTAATACATGGAATGTATATCCTGTACAGTAGAGTAGAAGGTTTAACCATTAGGCTACCCTACAGCCCCCTGTAATGTAATACATGGAATGTATATCCTGTACAGTAGAGTAGAAGGTTAACCATTAGGCTACCCTACAGCCCCTGTAATGTAATGTATGTAATGTAATACATGGAATGTATATCCTGTACAGTAGAGTAGACGGTTTAACCATTAGGCTACCCTACAGCCCCTGTAATGTAATGCATGTAATGTATATCGTGAACAGTAGAGTAGAAGGTTTAACCATTAGGCTACCCTAAAGCCCCCTGTAATGTAATGCATGTAATGTATATCGTGAACAGTAGAGTAGAAGGTTTAACCATTAGGCTACCCTACAGCCCCTGTAATGTAATACATGGAATGTATATCCTGTACAGTAGAGTAGACGGTTTAACCATTAGGCTACCCTACAGCCCCTGTAATGTAATGCATGTAATGTATATCGTGAACAGTAGAGTAGAAGGTTTATCCATTAGGCTACCCTACAGCCCCTGTAATGTAATGTATGTAATGTATATCCTGTACAGTAGAGTACAAGGTTTAGACATAAGGCTACCCTACAGCCCCCAGTCATGTAATACATGTAATGTATATCCTGTACAGTAGAGTAGAAGGTTTAACCATTAGGCTACCCTACAGCCCCCTGTAATGTAATACATGGAATGTATATCCTGTACAGTAGAGTAGAAGGTTTAACCATTAGGCTACCCTACAGCCCCCTGTAATGTAATACATGGAATGTATATCGTGAACAGTAGAGTAGAAGGTTTAACCATTAGGCTACCCTACAGCCCCTGTAATGTAATGTATGTAATGTATATCCTGTACAGTAGAGTACAAGGTTTAACCATTAGGCTACCCTACAGCCCCTGTAATGTAATACATGTTATGTATGTACTTTACAGTAGAGTAGAAGGTTTAACCATTAGGCTACCCTACAGACCCTGTAATGTAATACATGTAATGTATATCCTGTACAATAATACATAAAGGACCTGGTATTTATTATACATTAAAAGTGGGAGGTCTTTTATTTTTGGGTGCAACTACAGGAACATGCACCAATGTCTATTTTGTCTCAGAGTCAGGCACCTAATCGCCAGTACACAAAGTCAGCCGTCTGACCCACTCAGCCAGCGCGGCTTCCACAAAAATGGAAGTCGGACAACTGGTACTCTAGACCACGGACTTTGTGCACCCCTCTGATAAGTGAACATTTTCGCAACTCCCACTACCGAAAATTGTCGATATACTCTGTGTACCCTTCTGTGGAACCAACCCAACAAAAGTACTAGAATCTGTACTTCACTGAGACAGTGTAATACCAACTATAACAAGTGTTACAATATATGTGACGTTACGTTAACAGTGACAATACACCGAGCAGTGTTTTTCTTGCTAGGTACATGGCACTGCATATACATCTCATGTAGTTATCCGCCATGTCGGTTGCTATGACGCCACGTGTACGCACACTACTGGTGTAGCGTGTGGTTCCCCGAGCTGGCATTGTACCAAACACATGAGTCGGGCTATATTAAAGCCGTTTACCCGGCGGCGAGGCAGTCGTCTACCAAGCTGCGTGCTGTACAGTTTGATTGAACAATGGAGCCATCAACACTGGTATTCCTCATTCTTGTGGTGACTGCTGTCAGTGACGTGCAGGCTGTTCGCAAGCGTGGGACCTTGTCTAAACGGGTGAGAGAGGTGGAAATGGATATCATCGCTTGGAAAGGTACAGTTGTTAATCTTGAGCGTAAAACTTTTGACCGCTTTAAAGACTTGGATTCGTCACTAAAAGAAGAACTGACCAGAACTTTCGTCCCTGCCCTAATAAAGCCCCTCGTCAAACAAGCCATTACCGACATCATGAATGAAGATTACATCGGGAACATGATCAGCGGACATGTTCTCGAGGAGGTTCAAAGTTTGAAAACCAAACTACAAAACACAAAGATAGAAATCAAGGCACTGGCACAAAGGTTGAGAAGTGTTGAACAGGAAAGCGACACATGCAGGAAAAGTCTCGGAAAACTACATGGAAAGTTTACAGAGAACATCCGTGTATTACAGCTGCAAGTGAACCAGACAGTAGCTGACCTGCGTGATGCCAGGACCACGACGTATCCTGGAACTACAGCAGGTGAGAGATTTAGTAAAGATTAGTCGCTTAATTAACGTTCCCTCTGGACATTCCAACCGGAAGATATGAGAATATTAACATGATTATTTCGTTTGAATTTAGCCAATGTTTTTACAGTCATACTGCTTACGTACTAAGTTTTGTCTTCTGCTTTGAAACAATATGTTGGAGGTAAACTTTCTGTATTGTTAGTGGAGACCTTTCATTTCGAATATGACAGTGTTAAACTACTCTTATTTCAAATGCTTCTTGACCAATAAAATGTGTGAACACACAGGCTGTCATTACAGGATCAACTTAGGATTAACATAAAGGCATTTAATATTTGCTCAAGCACTGTTTATTGGTCATGTAAGATAGTGTTGATTGGACATATATTTTATTGGGTATGTACATATAGGTTATTGTGTATCTGAGCGGAGACTGAATTGGGCATCTGAACAAAGGTTAACAGGACATGCCAATGGTGCATGACCTGCATCTATTGTGATGTCAAAAGGGGACAACGCGGTTGGAAGGGCATTTAATACATAAAACTACCACAATACACGACACGTGATCTGCTGACTGATTATTATATTACATTCTAAGATGCCTAGCGGTTAGAACAATCGGAAAAAAATACATTATCAGACAATGAAGGTATAGTTTTTTGATGACGTAACAATTGAATGACGTTATCCCGTCACTGCGCCATTCTAGTGTGCCCCCTCGTAATCGAACCATTTTACATTACATCACAATGTAAGCGACGTCACGATGCATGTCAGTTGTCATCGCCTCGTACGGCCTCCTACAGTAAACTACTCCGTTGCATCCCCTTTTTTGGTTTGCAGCTGCTTCACGCAGCTAACATCACTGGTGGAAACATTACGTTTATGTTTTACGACTTACACGTTTTCAGCGACACGGTAACGTTCACAATGTTTACATTCCCACAATGCCATCGTGGAATGTCGCTTGACTACTCAGCTTCATCTGGATGTACTGATCTAAACTTACGTTGGTAGTAGAAATGCGACGTTCATATTGCCCCATATGGTTTACGTTAATGACAGATGTAATTAAAATAATTCAGAGAAGATATTTAATCCGAACGTAAACCGTCATCAGACTGTTATCATTTGTTGTTTTTCTGGTAACGTTCGTCTTAACGTAGGGGGGCAGACACATCAATAGAACAGCGCGCCAGTTAGCCCTGTGCGAGGATTCTTAATTTAGGTCACCGACACCGTAGTTTGTTTTCTGCCTTAAATTAATCGTAATTATCCTTAGAAAGTATTAAATTTAGCACCTTAGAAAAGAAATACAGTTTGCTTTACCACCATGTATAGTGTAATAAAGCACACTTTCCACATGAACTATTATAACGAAAGTTTGTTTTAATTAGTTTTCTTAATTAGTACACTATCTTAGTTGCATTATAAAAAAATGATGTCATATAAATTACAATTCCATCGTATTACTAACCTCACTAATGATAAGAAATATATTGAATCTGAGATAAGGTTACATATTTTAAGGTGAAATGTCATTAAATCTCAATGTATTTGGTGGTTGCATGAACGCGATAGTAGATAATCACTGTCGATACATGACAAGTGCTTGTAACAGTCGCCCTCCATCTCTCAATTCCACAAATCTTGTTAACACACCCAGGGTCTCGGTGGCTTGGAGAAGGGGTTGGCAAGGGTGGGGCTGGTTCGTCACTATCAATGTCACTGTCGATACATGACAAGTGCTTGTAACAGTCGCCCTCCATCTCTCGAATCCACAAATCTTGTGAACGCACCCAGGGTCTCGGTGGCTTGGAGAAGGGTTGGCAAGGGTGGGGCTGGTTCGTCACTATCAATGTCACTGTCATTGACTCCTAATCCGTATTTCTCAGTCCGCAATTTAGAAACAACTCAACAATCACATGCTAGTCACATGATTGCACAATCCCCACATTGCTTCTCAGTATGTTTTGATTGAAAACTATAATCCGTTATAATCAGTAGTGTTTAGTCGTAACAGTGAGTACTTCCTAATTAATTCCTTCTTAATTAAACCTAATTAATCAAGTGACCTTCAACTCAAATTGCCCTAATTAGTTTACACTACCGTATCTCTTTGATTCATGCCGCAGCGTGTGTAAACATGTAGACAGAACTTCAGTTCAGAGTGAGACTTGTCCATGAAAGGTAGGTGAATACCGAGTTTCTTATTAATATCGAGTTAAAAGGATAATTTTGCTTGTCGGGACCATGAAATTATATCTAGATATCTGAAATATCGAGACATCCGTATCAAGTTAAAAGAGCTTGAATAATGATAAAATATGAAGGATTTTGCCGGGACCGAGATGTTATATCGACACATCCGAGATATCGGGTTATCAGTGTTCGACACAAAGGTTCTCGACTGTATAAACAATTCATTCACATATTCTAACTACAACATAACATAATATTATAATGCTCACACCAGTTGAATATCCAGGAAAACCAGCCAACCTGACACACACACGCAATTGGTTGCAATCTCCCAACTTTCAAATCAGTCCTTATATAGCCCCAAACTATAATAAACGACTTGATTGACCCCCAACTTTCCAGATACATACACTGGTCTCCCATACTCCCATATGGTATTCTGAATAGGCGAACAACTTATGGACACTGTATCTGAACATAAATATCTCGGTATCTATTTCACACTTAGATTGAGTTGGGGAATACCTGTCTACAATTAGCACAACAGGCTCAGAAAAACACAGTTTGTCTTTCATTATAAGCTCAATGTAAGTACGTACACAGAATGATCGTAGCTATTTACATCTAAGCATCTGACGTCGAATGATATCTACATATGACGTGTTTTCAAAGGGGGCATATATATTTTTTTAAACAAATATTGGGAGTTTTGTGATACAAACAATCGGTGAATTAAGGAGGCGGTAACAGTTCCTCCCTTTCCCCCATCCCGAATAATATTTATTAATTAATATATACTAAAATAATTAACAAAACCTAACACAACAATTACTATAGAAATCACAAAAACGACTAAAGTCCATAACTTAGGTTAGGTTTAGGGTTGGGGGAACGGAAGGAACTCTTTCCAGGGAAGCATCCGATATGCTTATAATATAATTGTCGTCCATGTCATACCACAGGTAACACGAAATGTGTTCTAATATGCTGCTTTCATCTGATAAAACTAGAGGGCTAACGTGGAACGATTACAAATATTTCCATACAAAGTTGTTAATCAGTCCAAGCAGTCGAGCGCCAAACGTTGCCATGCTCCTAACCAGACACGTCACAATGACGTCATAGCTGGCAGCTTTGCGGTCGTGGTGTCGCCAGTCAAGGCATTTCATAGCTAGCAGTGAGATGAGTCGCTCGTGTTAGGACGTTATTGGTGGGTAAGTTCTCAGTTTCTACTTTTTAACTGATTTAGGAAATTTGATAAAATAGTGTAAATATACATTGTACGTCTACTGTAAAGCTGTATGAACGTTGTAGGAACCAAGTGCTTGCTTCACACAATGTTTACACCAGACCTGTGTTTAGCTTGTCACCTGCGGGGGACGATGGAAGGTCTGGGTAAACATAACAACGCAGCGTTTCACCTGATAGACTTGTTATATTTGATCAAATAATGTGCTCTTTCTTAGCGTTATGCTTTGACCTGATTGCATTTACCTCTGTCACGGAAGACTTTATGAGAATGTTTTAAATCTTTCCAGTCAAATATTTAATTTACACTGCATTTCATTTCTTTTTATTCTGCGTCAATGAATAGTTGCATTGCATTGAAATACACCCCGCTATATAGCACACGGTGAAACGTATCAGTTAAAATCGGTTTACAATGAAGACCTGTAGAGTTGCTTTTTTAACAATGGAACCTTAAATGTGGAACACATGCATTTCTGCAACATTTTTTTAAAAAAGCAATAACTTATGGAAGGGCAAGTACGCTTTCCCGTTATTTCTAATATTGAAACAGACGGAGAATGTTAATCACTCCGACAGTGACATGTCTATCTTGACCACCACACACTTTCACGTGTTTGTACCCTTGTTGTTTATCAAAGCACATTGCTTCCATCGACAAGAACAATTGCGTCAGCTGCAGTTTCCGCCTCAGTCAGTAGTTGTGTGAGAATTGCACTGCCACCATCGTTCGGTATGTTGACATTTTCTGCGCGCTTGGACAAAGTTTACCTGACGCTTTGTGACTAAATTTCAACTGTGTTGCACAAACAGGAAGTCAAAAGGCGAAACCGCATTATCAGTGGTTCGTGTCGTTTGCTGTTGTTTCACTATGTAGTAACTATTTCATGCATTTTGTATCAATATGTGATGCTTAAATTGTATTTATGAATATTTCTTTCGTCAGATATCTGTGATTTTTTGTCGACAACGCTTCAAATTTGGTTTAGTTTCAAATTTGGTTTAGTTTCAAATTTGTGCCCAATGTGATGAGAGAGTGTACCCTCCATTGAAAATAAACTTTAAATCTGCTTCACATTAGAATTTATGGAATTGCCTAAAATACCATGTACAAAAATATACAGCTAGGGTGGGGACATCAAGGAAAGGCATTTTTGAAATTCCAGTTACGGTTAATGAATTCAAACCAAAAAAAAGGTGGTCATTCCAGAAAGAGGAATTATAATTAGGTATAAGTGCAGATGTTTTTGTTTGTTTATTTATTGTTTTCTTTCAGTGTAATAATGTAATTATGTGTATACTTAAAGAACCCGTAGAATTTGCTTGACACTAGCCTAACCCTAACATAACCCTGAGGGCAAACAGATCCTTTAGTTACACTGTTCATGTTTATATTTCAAAACAGCATAACAATCTATTCAGTTACTACATTTCAACAAAGAGGAGCATCTCAGCTGCTGGGACACAGTCAGTGCAAAGCTTATTACATTTACTGAATCAAACTGTAAAAATATATGTAGGAAATGTTCTTTTCCTCTCCTGCAGAGACACGGGGTCTTGGTGAACAGGTATCTCAACAAAGCAAACCATATATATTTAATACTTCTGCTATAATAGATGTATTTGGAATTTATCCACACATAATATTGAAAGGCAAAACATTGTGGAAAGCGAAAACTGAGGCCTGTAGTAATAACAATGCTTATGTGCTATGTATAGTTTTCTGAATATAATATTCCCTGTTTCAGCCTCGACTGGCCCGACCCAGAACAACACGGTTCCACCAGCGCCAGTGACGACACAAGACTCTGATCTACAGGGTAGGTGGGAAAACCCAGCAGACAGGGACGTCAGTCCTTAATTCTCCGTCCATTTAACGGAGTGGAGTATATATACCCGTGGAGACTCTGACTTGAGGTCACAGGATTTCAAACTGTTAAAAATAAATTTAGGGAGTGTTACTCTTTTCCTGCATAGACATGCGGTCTCGATGGAGAATTATCTCAGTCAAATTGAACGATATATATTTAATACTTCTTTCATAAGATATGTGTTTAGAATTTAATCATACATAATACTGAAAGGCGAAACATTATGTGGAAAACTGAGCCAGCAGTAGAAATGTTTATGTGCTATGTATAGTTTTCTGATCAACATATTCCCTGTTTCAGCCTCGACCACCGACGTGAGTGATGATCTGACACCGAGCAAGACGGTTCCACCAGCGCCAGTGACGACACAAGACTCCCACGGTAGGTCGGAAAACCCAGCAGGCAGGAAGAATAGTGGTGTCGATCGACGTTCATGTTGTCGGTCACAGGATTCCATGAATCAGATAATTATGCTGGGGTCGCCATCAGACAGCTGGAATACTGCTGAGTGTGGCGTCAAACACCAACCAAACACTGTGACATAAACCAACGTTATATCTTATTACCCTAAAACCAAACAACAGTTGTACTGACATTATCAACTTGTAAAGTTCAACAAACATCAACACTCTCCAGCCGAACACAAAATATTGCTACAACTTCTGGTTCTAACAGAAAGTTCTGTATTAAACACACCATCGTTTATCCCAGAAACCACATGTTGACATTCCCGCCATGTTGTATTGTTGTCAGCCATGATGGAATTGTTTAAACGATGCAGCAATGTCCGAGTCACGTATCAACATGATGAAAACATTGTAGATGTGTGACACAGATGTCTGATGTTTACTTTGTGTTGCAGCGACTCCATCACCAGCAGCAGGCCGCCGTCTCTACTCCGCCAGCGAGGCCGGTAACCTGAAGAGAGTGAAGCGGATCCTGGCAGCGGGTCACGTGGACATCAACACGAGAGGAGGAGATAGCAAGACACCGGTGATGAGGGCAGCAGTGAATGGACACAGAGATGTGGTGGAGTTCCTGGTGGGTAGAGGGGCTGATGTGTCTCTGGTGGACAGGGACGGTGACAACGTCCTTCACTTGGCCTGTTATGGTGGAGACCTGGAGACGGTGGAGCTGATCGTGTCCCTGAACGTGGTGGACATCAACGCCAGGAACAACAACGGGTGGACAGCGGTCTACTACGCGAGACACTGGCGACATCAGCGAGTGGTGGAGTTCCTGGTGTCACGTGGTGGACACTGAAGTCTGTGTTGGTGTGGACAGTGACGGTGCACATGTCGTTACTGACACTGACGCGGTTTGGCCGTCCACGTTGTCGTGTGTCACGATTCACGTGATTTCCTTTTACTTTGTGAATATAAATAAAACTTGTTGAAAGTATTTTCAGACATTTTGTCATTTGTTGTGTTTGGAGCCTCGCAGGATCAGGTAAGAAAATTGTGAAGTGAGTGTAAACATGAACGGTGAGTGATTGTACCTAAACCTCACCCGTTGTAACATAATTCTGTGTTAATTTTGTTCTGAGAATATCGCGAATTGTGAAACCGACAACAACAAACTGTTTGTTTAGATGTCGCTGCACTCTGTGACCTCAGACTGAGCCGAGGTTCACCCAGTGACATGGCTCCATTTGTACAGCGACAGTGACGTCACACTGCTGGTGACGTCACAGATATACACTGTGGTGCCCGGCCGTCTTCTCGGCCAGATAGGACAGAGAGCGGCGCAATGCTGGCATCGTGCCATACAGCACAAACAGTATCTGTCAAATACCATGTGTTGGGTATCGTTTAACAAGGGAAGGATGGACATCTGTAGCTGATTACTACTGAGATTTAACCTTTTTGGTGCCACAGGGAAATGTACCCATTCTGTAGTGACAAAACACACAATATACAAAATCAAACACATGACAATCATCACCCAAATTATCTCAGATTTGTTAACCCTGGATGCCGGAATGACAAACACTTCCCCCTCTTCTCTGTTTACTGATCTAACATTGCTGAAATGACAGGTAAGAATTATGTACATGGTAAATCTCGCCATTTTTGGACACATGAAGAGTTCGCCATTCGCGGCATCGTTTACTGTATGTTGTAAAGGTAAATATCGGATATTAACCCGTTGAACTGAATTTGAAAAATAGCCAGTTAGTGATTAGTGGATGTGGTTTTTATCAAGTCGCCAATGACTATACTGAAACCCCGCCTATAACCCTGAAATCGTTTGGACCGTCTCGGGAGCAGGCAAACACACACGCCGAAGTGAGCTCTCCGTTATGTTTGATAGTGTTTACTGAAGCATGTTTCACGTAAGCTGGTCATGAGACGCCAATTACATCAAAAATATTTAACACTCAGCTCTAAACACACACCTCCTTGAATTCCTCATACATTTTACAATCAATAATGCCCGATGTTTTTTGTTACTAGTTCAAATAGTTGATGATATCAAGCCCCTGGATGTCGAGGTTTCTGACACAAGTCTGAAAAGTAAACGTTGCGCGAGGAATGATCTGACAACGTTATGCATTCAGTATATATTGTGGCTTGACATAACTGACACACGCATAGAGACGAGGGGTGTAACTCCGCTAGGCTTTACACGATGTCATTGTAACTCAGGTCACTTGGAGAGAATTCACTGTTGAGAAGGACACTATTTTAGTGAGGTTTCGTTCACGATGAACCAGACTATTCCAATACACACTGTAACCGGATACGTTTGGTAGTATCAGAAATTACAAGAAATGTTGAAAGCGCACAACATGTGAAATCATTACCTCGTGGTTTGTTTTATAGATTTGTTTGCGACGTCGGAAAATAGGACAGTTGTATGTCCATTAGTTAATATATGTACCTCACATAATGTACGTAGATTCTATAGAGACTTCGGTTTGGCAGCCGTGCTTTCCACAGAACATGAAATGAATTACTTACAATTAAAATATATGTCCTGAATAGTTGATTGTGTATTTTGATTTACCGTAAATGAAACAATAGTTCAAAACATATGAGCATATTTTCAGGACAGGAGTTTCCTCTGTTCATGATGGTGTTGCTATTTCTCTACAAAAGTAAACAATTAAAGATGAAAAAATAGACCCTTTTGTATGGGACTATCAGAATAATTATGTGAGGTTTGTTCCAAGGAATATTGACTATTGCACACCATATGCACAAAGCACGTGTTGCAGTTATGCCTACATTTCATCTAACACTTGTGTACAGGTTACAAATTTTAATATTATTATGGTGTACTACACTAACAGTCTCACTTTCGTCTTTAAATATTGTTCAAACAAGCAAACACTTGCAAAGGATAAAAACACGTATAGCCTATATCCATGTATGATATGATACTGAATAAGCCTAAATGTAATCATTTTTCATATGGTGACGGAGTAAGTATATACTAGAAAACATCGTCTATCTCATAATACAGAGGTTGACATCCATAAACCTATCTTCCTTATGTGTATCACTTCTGACTGGCCTGAAGGCTAAATGTAGATAATGAAATAAGCTTCGCGAAAAAAAAGTATCTAAAAGATATATACATTATCAAACGCTAAGTAGCTTGACGGTGTGACTGTGTTTACCGACATTTATCTCAAACAAATTGCTCAACATGTACAAAAATGTTGACATACGACATCACTACCAATAGCAGATTTATTTTATATAACACTGACATCGGCACGCAGGGGGCTTCCCTGGCCTGCCTTTAGAATCCCTCACCAAATAAGCGCACGTGAAATCAAACATATTTGTATCTTTTTGTTTCAAAGTATTCTTGCAATTCACGACCTGTCCCCATGCTTAACTGTGACGTTGCAATATTGTTGCACTAGTGTATAACAGTCGTCGTACGAGCTTAATGTTGCTATGGTATGGGTTTGTAAGGCTTCAGTGCAGTGTTGTTATCATTTACGGAAATTAACAGATTATTTTTATGCTGTCATTTTTAATTTTGAAGAATTCTGTCATTTTCAGTTCTGAAGGGTTTTTTAGGTGGCCTTGGTCCCGTTTAAAAGGAGCCAAATAAATTTAAAATTACTGTGGGTGGGAAAGGGTTTTTTGTGTGTGTATCTCTGTCTTTTCCTCCTTGCTGGTGATGTTATTCAACCAAAGCACTACACGCATGTCAATAGAAGTATATTATATGAATCCCTCATCAAAACATGCGTGTTGGGTGTTTGGTGAAAACCAACCGTGCGTTATCTAAACGGCAGTAGGGCTTTCAGCAATCAAGAATGAGGACTGGACCAGGTAACATTGATTAATGGGAGAATCTCTGCTGGCTAGTGGTACTACAAAAAAATCATGTGTCTAGCCTCTCAACACCACCGAACACCCACTGGCCTTCGACAACATGACATTTAAGCAGTCAGGCGCGTAGCAAGCCAATTTTTTTCCTGTAAGCCCGATAGGTATCAGGGCTTTATATTTAGATGGTATTTAGGGCTTGTCCAACCTTTTTAGCAACAATCATGTATAAGCCCAGGCCTTTTTTATATTGGTAGCTGCCCCCCCTGGCAGTGTATGAAATAAGCCAAAACCCACCCACACATCAGGGTTGTTAACTTTTAAAATGTTACCAGCCCAAAATGGATTTAACCAGACCAGACAACGTTTTACTGGAACATTATTTTAACGTTTTGACCAGACCATAGGGCTGGCTAGCTGTAACTTTAGACCGTCCGTCAGAAATCTAGCCCATCTCGGGCTGTCGGACGGGCCTTATTCCATTCACTGATTTATGCAATTTTCAGTTACCAAACTTTCCCCAACAATGATACCTGGCCCTCCTATCTCTGAAAGAAACATTTTCAAAAGTTTACTAATGAAAGAGGCTGTGAGTGACATTTGACGTCACTTCAGGTTAAAGGCACAGGCTCTCGTGTCTTTGCTAGGATTAATGGTGTTTAATAAAACATTTGAGATGACCCCCGACTCAAAATGCTTCACAATACATTATGTTATGTGTTGTACTGTGTAGCATTTCGAGTTGGGGGGTTATCTCAAAAACTGATTGTTAATCTTTAATCTTCCTCCGCAAGAACACAAGGGCCTAGACCCCTGAAAGGTGAAAGTGTGAAAACTTGATGTTTCTGTGTTTACATGTCAACCAGGCGTAGTCTTACGAGCAAAATGTTCGTTTTCACCAGATATATTTAGTTTGATATCATCTGGACACTTGATATTGATGACAATGACCATTTGTTATTTTATTCTAAAATGTATGAGGAATTCAGTTATGTATTTGTTGCAGATGAATGTGAAATATACGTGACGTTATTGTCGTCTCATGACCGGGCCTTGTGAAACGTGATTTTGTAAATACATGTACTATCCAATATGTCGGAAAGCTCACTTCGGCGTTTGTGTTTCTCTATTTTCCACACCATCCAATTCTAAGTTTATTCCGATTAATGATCCAATTTTTGCGTTTGTCAACATGCAGAAAACAACTCCTCCAATCGCGGTGTCGTAACTTCACAAATGGCGACATTTACGATTTACGTAATGTTTCCACAGACGATAGTGGATGGTGTCAAGACACAGACGATAGTGGATGGTGTCAAGACACATACGATAGTGGATGGTGTCAAGACAGACGATAGTGGATGGTGTCAAGACACAGACGATAGTGGATGGTGTCAAGACACAGACGATAGTGGATGGTGTCAAGACACAGACGAGAGTGGATGGTGTCAAGACACAGACGATAGTGGTAGTGTCAAGACACAGACGATAGTGGATGGTGTCAAGACACAGACGATAGTGGATGGTGTCAAGACACAGACGATAGTGGATGGTGTCAAGACACAGACGATAGTGGATGGTGTCAAGACACAGACGAGAGTGGATGGTGTCAAGGCACAGACGATAGTGGATGGTAGTGGATGGTGTCAAGACAAAGACGATAGTGGATGCTGTCAAGACACAGACGATAGTGGATGGTGTCAAGACACAGACAATAGTGGATGGTGTCAAGACACAGACGAGAGTGGATGGTGTCAAGACACAGACAATAGTGGATGGTGTCAAGACACAGACGATAGTGGATGGTGTCAAGACAGAGACGAGAGTGGATGGTGTCAAGACACAGACGATAGTGGATGGTGTCAAGACACAGACGATAGTGGATGGTGTCAAGACACAGACGATAGTGGATGGTGTCAAGACACAGACGATAGTGGATGGTGTCAAGACACAGACGATAGTGGATGGTGTCAAGACACAGACGAGAGTGGATGGTGTCAAGAAAAAGAAATTTTCGGTTAAATGAAAACAATAAGACAAATAACAATACACAGATCGGCAAAGTGTTTATTGACATTGACATTCACATTCACATTCACACACACATAT